CACACACACACACACACACACACACACACACACACACACACACACATACACACACACACACACACACAATAAAAACAGAAAAAGAAGAAAAACATTAAATGCCAGTGAATATTTTCATGTTCAACCGGTTCATTCCGAGTTTGGTCATACTATTGATGGAAGTCGCGTCAGGCCAGGCGAGAGGTCGGAGACCTACCTGTTCTCTGTCTCGCGCTACCCACTGTCGTACCCCCGTTCACCGTTCACGGATTCGGTGAACGTAAGCCGGCCACCGGTCACAAAAAACATGACCGGATGTAGTTCACGTTGTTCACACAGAGCGGAAACTCCGTTTTTATTTTTATTTTGGCTGGTAATGCTGTTTTTTTTTTGGTCACGTCTGTGTAGCTCGGTAACGGGCATCAGCCAAAACTTTTTTTTTTTTTTTTTACGATTGAAATATATTTTTTAGTTATAATAAAAAAAAATTCGGGGGGTGGGCACAGCATTTGTCCGTGCAGGGCATTTTGAGGGAGTTTTGGCGGTTCAAATCATGGTTTTTTTTTTGTTTTTTTTTTGTAAATTGCTCTCGCAGTGGCAGCATCATAGCGCACCTCGCCACACCCGAGCGACCCCCCCCACCCCCCCCCCCCGAAACACACACACACACACACACACACACACACACACACACACACACACACACACACACACACACATTCAATAACAAAAGTACGATAATTCTGTTTTATTAAGGGTCCTAGCAGAAAGTGTGTGTGTAATAAACTATTTGTAACTTTCGGGGAGTAATCAATACCATAGTTGTGGCGCACCAGTGCGCAGTGCATTTGTAACACACACACACACACACTCATTTTTATGTATGTTTCTTCTTTCTTGTATTTTCGTACTTTTAGTGTCCCTTAGCTGAGCACCCTCAAGCAGTGCCAAACAGTCGGCCATTACTCGTCTGGGGTGCCTACAGCACTCTTAGGGGGGGCGCTCAGTTCGGGATGTCTGTCTTCTGCGGGTGATGACGAATGTTGGTCTGAGTGATTCCCTGGCTCAGCGGGTGGTGGGACCAACAGTCTGTGGGGTTAACTCGTGATGTGTGTAGGTCATGTGCCGATTTGCTCCGTGTTGGATGTGTAGACTGTCTTGTCTGCGCTCTGCCGCTGCTTTGCTTCCCGCCCCGCTTGCTTCACAGGTCTTCCTTGCTGCTCTGCTGCCTTGCCGCCCATCYGCAGGACGTGCCTTCCGTGTCTTTTGCTTGGGGACAGTCTGCCTTCAACATGGGTCAAAGGGTTCATGACCCAAACCATCAATACGGGGATTCCGCAGATTGTTGAGGGTTCAGCCTCCTGATGAGTYGGTGAAACTCCGACGAAACAATCTATCATCATCARCTTTTATTTTTTTCGGTCTTTCAATATTTTTGGGGCTTGTATTTTTTTCTGGTTCCCCTGTTTGGTGTGCTTGCATGTGGTCTGCCCTCCCGCCACCCCCGTGCCCTCCAGCCTATGGTTCACCTCACTGCTTTTGCCTTGATGTCTTTTTGCTTTCTTGGTTTTGGCATGCCTTGATGCTTTTCTAGTCTGCCTGGTCTTGGCACCCTTTTGGGACTTGTGCCCTCCTGCCTTCCCCATGTCCTCTAGCCTATATGTCTGGCACTTTGGAAAGCTGGTCATGGATAACCACATGTACGAGGTAGCTTCATGAGAAGTAGTAGAGTGGTAACATGCACCATTAGTTTGGTTACGGCAGGGCGGGGKGTACCATGGGTTCCATGGGGTGCATGGCGAGGTGTACCTATATACCAGGTGTGGCCCGCGTGTGCATTTACTCTGAAAATTGCGCCCACACATGTGGAACCCTCTCTTTTYTAGCCCTTGCTTTCCTATTTTCCACGTAGATAGGACTCCTATAGTCTCTTCAAGTCCCCCACAAAGCTTGCTTCYAATTCTCTTCCCCCARCCTTTCCCTGTGCAAGACTTCTGGCTTTCATGATGACTCTTATAGTCTCTTCAAGTTCCCCCAAAATTTTGCCTTCGGCCTCCACAGTGAAACCATCGGGAMCATTGATGATTGGGTGGATGGATTGTAATTTATGGCACATTCACCACCTGACCAATACAAGGCTAGTAAATCRTTACCTTCTGTAGAACATTMTGATTTTCCTTCCCATATGCCGATGATTCCTCCCCTCAATGCATGGGAGGCGGATAAGAGAGAACCTGGTAAACTGAAACATCTTAGTAGGCAGAGGGAAAAAAAGCAAAAGCGATTCCCTGAGTAGTTTACCCAGACCAAGTCACCGACAGCGAATTACGAAGGTCATCGGTGCTTGTTGGYCWGTTCCACCATCTGATGTTGGGCCTTAAACCACCAGTACTTGGCCCAGCTATTGAAGCCGAGCCTGAATATGTCCTGTCCGCCGATTTTTGCCGAGCCTGCAGGGGGCAGGAACCAACAACATGGGACATTTGATGCTTGGTACAGGTACCGCCCTTATTCTGGACCTGCTGGCAGCAGCTGGAATGTAAAGAGGCGATAGTTTTCTCCTTTCCACTCGTGTACATGAAAATGGCCTGGGCAGAAGTGCAGCCAGATCCGTCTTGAAAGATCTCGTTGAATGCYCCCCGCCTCTCGCGGGGAGCAGAAGCACTAACAGCCAAAAGTCTTCAAAAGGAAAACCAAAAAACAAAAAAAAACAAAGGGAAAAGAGGTACCAAGCTCTGAACGTGATTGCCCTCAGATACATCCACTGCTGCAGCGAAGTGCAGCCAGATACATTCTGGAAGTGCTACGTCACATTGAAGCCCTGGAATTGAAACGGTTGGCACTCATTGAATGCTCCCCGKCTCTCACCGGGAGCAGAAGCACAAACAGCCRAGATAGCCGAGATACTGCTTCCCAAAAAAAAAAATTAAAAAAAATGGGGGGGAAAAGAGATACCAAGCTCTGAACGTGATTGCCCTCAGATACATCCTCTGCTGCACCAAAGTGCAGCCAGATACATTCTGGACAGTGCTACATCACAGTGAAGCCCTGCAAATGAAACGGTTGACAAGCATTGAATGCTCCCCGTCTCTCACAGGGAGCAGAATCACAAACAGCCGAGATACTGCTTCAGAAAAAAAAACAAAATAAACAAAACAAAGGGGAAAAGAGATACCAAGCTCTGAACGTGATTGCCCTCAGATTCATCCACTGTGCCCACAAGTGGAGCCAGATACATTCTAAGAAGTGCTAACATTACAGGGAAGCCCATACATTCTAAGAAGTGCTAACATTACAGGGAAGCCCTGCAATCCGAAGGGCTGGCATACACTCATGAAAAATGAGTTTTCTTCCAACAAAAAAAAAGAAAGTAAAACAACGATTTCCTTTTCTTTTCTCTTTCCGCCCTCGTCACCTTCAGCCTTTGCTCGTTTCCACATAGCACAGCACCAGGACATCTGACAGTCCATTYGGCCCGTTTCTGTGGGCCCACGCATGTCCTCATCCATTGCACTGCCGGGCCTTCCCCGAACYCCGAAAACTGCGGCGCATTAGAAYGGGGAAGGCCCGCGGCCCATGTATGGGCCAAGTACTAGTAGTTTAAGGATGTTCTTTTTCACCTGCTCTTTCTCCTATTGAATGGCAAATTCCCTCGTACCGGATGGCAATTTTTAAATCTGGTTGGGATTCRGACAGTCAATCGGATGTTGGGGCTGCCAACCCTTGTGCAGTTCATTCGGGGTGAGTGCAGTAGACTGGTGCACTGAATCGTTATACGCAGACTGCACTTTGTGAATATGCTCGTCCCAATCGATTTGGTCGGGCGTAATGTACATGTGCATCACTTGTTGGAGCAGTTTGTTCATCTGCTCTGTCTGGCCATTAGTCTCCGGGTGTCTACCAGATGACATGGTCAACTTTGATCCATAAACTTTCATCAATTGTTGCCAGTGCTCGCCCGTCAGTGGGTKTCCGTAATCTTYCACCCAGTGATTGAAAAACTCTCTAATCACGAGCTCGGTCCTCGCCTCAGTGGGCAGCGGAACAAAAATAGCAAATTTACTAAATCGATCTACAACTACCATCACCTGACTCTTCCCGTTTCTGCTTTTGACCTTGGTGTCCATAAAGTCAATAGATACAGAGTCGCCGGGAGCGGACGGGACAGGTAGTGGTCTGAACAGACCATGGGGGGCCTGCGTGGAACTTTTGTTCTGTTGGCATACTTGACAGCCCTCGACGTAGGCTATGCAGTCATGTGCAATAACCCATGCCATATGTCTCGTGGAATCTGAGGGTCACCTGAGGGCTTACTTGGCCGCCCGCAGCCCAGGCCGACACAGGGGAAAAAGACCCCACACAAATTCAGGGCTGGGTGTGTGACAGTCAACTGTCGGTCCACCCAACAGTCAAAGTCTAAAAGTACCTAGCCCAGGCCGCTGGTCAAGCACACATGCTTGTTTGTATGCAGGTACCCAGACAGCGACAGGTCCAAGGGAGAAGTCTGCAACTGTACAATCCGGGCCTTCAGCTGTGAGTCAATCTGGACTGCTGTGGGGAAAAGCACCGAGGCCAGACAGCCTCG